TGTAGAGTTCATTGTTTGTATTTGCCTGCTTACTGTCTTCTATATATATACTAGTTGCATGTTTTCTTGTGGTTTTGTTGAGTCGAGCGAGTGTTTGCAGTCAATAGAGATCGTGGGGAGTGTGGTTTCACATGGAAATTTCTAATCTTGATCTGTCCATTTTTGTTGGGGGCTGATCTTTTCAATCGTCAAAATATCATTGTATCAATTATTATATTCTTGGCTATGAGGAATCATTGGCGTTTTTTCGAACTATTGTATGTTTTGGTAGAAAGGGAGTTATTTCGTCTCAAAATCTTCAAAATATCATTGTACGTCACAAAACATATTCATAAAGGGAAGATATTTCAATCGTCAAAAGTGACCAATTTTTTTTTTTGAAGATAAAAGGGAATATACATAAAAGTGACCAATTTTTTTTTTTTTTAAAGGGAGATATTTCAATCGTCAAAATATCATTGTACGTTTTTTCGAACTATTGCATTCCTTAGAAGAAAGAACCTTAAGGAAAGTTATTCTTTGAAACACATGTTTGAATTTTGATGAATTGAGACATTATCTGGATATAATATTTTGTAGCTCTTATATTCATAATCTTGGCTAGTGCTACTTTTAAGACATTCCATTATTCAATATTTTTTCTAGGTAGACGAGGTAGCAAACAAATTCAACGAGTGCGCGCCACAGTCCGCCAAGAATCTTGTTTCGAAAGCCCAATCCATCATGAAGAAAGCATCCGAACTAGCCCATGAGCTGACGGCGGAAGCCCGAGTGAAGGGTCCACTTGCAGCCATTTCCCATGCCGGCACAATCTCAAAACAGGTGGCAGTCAATCAGCTTGTGGTGGTTTGGTACAAGGCCAACAAGCACCCGATCATGCACGGCTTGTTTGAAATGGCTATTCCAACTGCTGCTCACTGGTCGGAAAAGTACAACAAGCTGGTCAAGAACCTGAGCAAAAAAGGGTTTACTTTCATGGGCTATGTTCCTTTGGTCCCGGTTGAGGAAATATCGGTGGCGTATAAACAGGTGGAGGCAGCTGAGGGCAAGAGTGAGTCGGACAAGGAATAATTGGTTTGGATTTGGGTTTGTTTAATGAAAGATGATTGATTTGGAAATTGAAGGGTTTGGTGTAGATTGATTTGGAAATTTCTGTGGGATGTTTGAATATGTGTTTGCAATGGAAAAATTGGTTTTTCATCATTGTGAGTGTAGATTTGTGACTTGAGTTGTTCTTATGCTTTCCTTGATTAACTCTTGTGGCTGCAATATTTGTTAAATTTTTTGATGGTCCGCTGATTTGTATGGTTAAGTGGTACTTTCTTGAAAGTGTCAAAGGAATGGATTAGACTATGTTGGGTAGACTTTGCTGATAAATTTATTTTATAATTTTGAAGTGAATTTCAATAAACTACCTTATAGTTTTTAAGTGAATTTCGAGCTGATAACTTATGACTGAAATGTTAGCCCGTATAATAAAGAAAAATCTGCTGAAATTAAAATTTTCAATGGACCTATATGAAAAGTTACTCAGGTAATGTATTGAGTGGAACTGTACACTAGGGGAGGAGAGTATATTTTCCTTATTCTCAGTTATTATAAATTAATCTAAGCTATATATCAAATGAAAATCACACACATAATCCCAACTCTGATAATTAGCCATCAGATTCGAATTTGTACAGCCTGGTGATGTGTAAATGAGCTTCTGTTACTTGGGCCATTTTCAGTACATAGATTTATGTTGTTGAAGTTTTGTTGTCATTTGTCAAAAAAAGTCAACTTTCACCATAGTTTGAAAGAAAGAAATTATTTGTCACTTGGGCTTAAAAGTCTTATTTACTGATAGATATCGTTTTAACTATGTACGCTACAAAGTCAAAAAAACTATGCTACTAAACTTATAAATAAAATCTAGATTAATACACAGGGTAACTGATTGTGATGGCCACTGAAGAAATTCACTCAATGGCTTTTATTTAGTCAAACTAAATGGGGATGGTATATGTTCACTACTCTTTTTTTTTTTTTTTTTTTTT